GATGAATTGTGCGAGTGCAGTCGATTTCAAGAGGCAGTTAGACANTAGGGCACTGGCGAGACCCCACCTAGAATACTGTGTCCAGGCCTGGGCACCCTACCTGCAGAAAGACATTCAGTGCATCGAGAAGGTTCAGAGGTTAGCCACCCGAATGGTCTCTGGCATGAGGGGCAAGCCATATCAAGAAAGGCTTGAAGCGTTAGATCTCTTCTCTATGGAAAGAAGACGCCTGAGGGGTGACCTCATATAAAAGTTAAAGATAATGAAACGGTTTCACCGCCGTAAGCGCCGAAAGCTTCTTCACTCGAGCGCCCGTAGAGGCCACCAGGAGACACAGCTTAAAGCTCTTAAAACCAAGGGCTCGCCTTGGTGTGCGGTTTAACTTCTACACGAAACGAGTGGTTGATAGATGGAATCAGCTACCACCTCACCTGATGAATTGTGCGAGTGCAGTCGATTTCAAGAGGCAGTTAGACAGGGTTTGGAACCAAATATACCCAGAGGTAGTATAGAAGCAGGGTCTGAGATTGTTTAGGGTTGACATGCTATTTGTTTTCCAATTAATCTCGCCTACATATATCGTACCGGAACCAGTTTCCTGCCGGAAAACAGTTGCAAGACAGCGACTGAAACGATTTTTGAAGCTTTGGGAGAAGAAACCTTCCTGCCGAAGCAAGAATCTGGACGCTTGGTTGGCGAACGCCCTTTCCGTCCTGTGCAACCTGACCTGACCTGACTTCACCCTACTCTTGCTTTTTTCTCGGGCGCAGCACCTGAGCTGCGACCCCGTTTTTTGATGGGTCAGTGTTGGTTATTGTCCTGCGACTTCCAAGTTCGGAGTCCGTTGGTTCTACCATGGACGCACGCCGCAATGGAGTGGACATTTGATCAATTTTCTCTTCATCTACACTTACCGACCCGCTTGGCAAGCAAGTCTTCCATTCCTCTTCTTCCATTTTATCTTCTATGATCACCATCCCGTTTCTGAAGGGAGTGCTTGTCGATGGCTGCGTTCTATGGTTACTAGCCCTTCCCTTGGACCCCTTAAACTCTGCCTTCTTATATGGCCTTGGGATGTCCGGAGCTATTCCGTAGCACCCTTTTGTGCGCTGACTTACAAGGAATGCTTTTGCCAGGATCATGTCACTTTGTCCCGTCTCTCCGAACTCCACTAGTATCGGTCGGGCCGCGAGCACTACGTTCGGGTTTGGCTACTTCCAAACCCCTACTCTATGTATTCTTTTTATGTGACATTATGGATCTAAGCCCACCAGTCTTAGGATATCAGTCACCCGGCGGCGGTCCAGTTCGCGGCGAGTTTTAGACTCCCTGATTATTGGTTCCTCTTTATTGAGAACCAGTAGCGTGTTGTACTGAGACGTTCTATTTACCCTAACAGCCTTGATCGAGTCTATTTCAGCTCGCAACCTGTGCAGTTTACTCTCGATGTGGTGCAGGCTGTTACCCAGAATACCCCGGGCTCCCTTGACAATGCGCGGATTTACTGTCTTCGGCTTGGATTTGACAGTCTTAGCATTTGGTTGCAATTGACGTGTTCCTGGAGAAGGTTTGCCGGGTGATTTTTTCACCACCTTGGCATAAGTTTTGGCTGACACCTCTGCAGTCATTTCTTCAATAATTTCCACTCCTTTTGTCGCTGTCAGCCTTGGTGACTTTCCGGGGACAGCACTTTGAGCTATATGCTGGCGTGCGATGGTTTCGCAACCGTTGCACATCCAATAAAGTCCACTGTGTTTACCGTACAAAGCGCAGATCTCCGTAGAGACCCCTGTACACTTTTGGTGAGCCCATTTTTCGCATACGTTGCACATTATGCCACTTACCACCTTTTTACCGCGCACTTCATTCAGACACGGAAAGTTGACACGTGGCATACTTTGAACAAAAAATGCGCAATGCAGGTGAACCGACAAATATAAGACACCACCTTTACTGTATAACACCAAAACGTGAAAAGGGCGTCAGTAATTACTAAAAAACGGTTTACAGAACTAGTTTGCAAAACCTTCCAAAAACGGTATACCTGAAGCTAGATATTTTACTTTCAAGCTTTCGTTTGAAAGAAAATTAACAAAACGGATTGTATAGTTCGCTTTACAATACTTTTTCTTGCACTGCAGTGACAATTAACGGTGAGCAAACTACCACTGTATATATAATGCAGCCTTCTAAGTGCTCACAGCAAATACACTTGAATAATGCTTAGACAGATTTCTTGTCAGTAAAATGTGAAATATCGTAAGATATTCCACGGAAGTAATACCAAACGTATTTTCAACGGGAGCACTTCAAAATTTCAAACCGCGCGCTAACGTACCGCACAACGTTCAGTTCCATTGTTCAGGCGGGAAACCTCCCATTTGGAAGCGCTCCCCTATTTGGGGTGGTTAGTAAATGAGAAAACTTTCTTCAACCAAGCCTTAAGAAATGCATCTACTTCAGGAAATAAGTTCAACCAGCGGTTATCAAGCTCCTTCTTGAAAGCATGTACGCTCCCCAGCTCCACCAGCTCCTGTGGTAACTTATTCCACGAGTTGACTACCCTGATGCTGAAGAAGTTTCAATGCACCGCTAGTCTCGTCTGTACTTTCTTCAGCTTGTGCATGTGCCCTCTGGTATTGCTTTCCCTCCTCTCGAAGAACACTGCTTGATCCGTCCCTGATAGGCCATTTGTAGTTTTGAATGTCTCTATCAAGTCACCTCTGAGTCTTCTTCTCTCCAAGGAGAAGAGCCCAAGGTTCTGCAGTCTCTGCTTATACGACTTCCCCCGCTGACCTTCGATCATCATCGTGGCTAATCGTTGGACCCCCTCGAGAAAAGCGGTGTCCTTTTCGAAGAAGGGAGCCCAGGCTTGTATACAATACTGCAAATGCGGTCGAACAATGGCTTTGTATAGAGGTACGAATACCTCCGTTTTCCTACATGATAGTGCCGACCTCAATCAAAGAAGCTCTCGACGGGCACGGTGAGCCGCTGCGGCACACTTTTATGCCCATTTCAAGTCTGCTCTCACTATAATTCCTAAATCTCTAGCTTTCTGCGTCGTTTCTAGTGAATGACCGCCGTGACTACTCCCCACGTCTCCCCTCGTCTCCAGTGGTCAAGACATGACTCTTTCCTATGTTGAGATTCAGATCCCATGTACTTGACCACTTGAGCACCTATGTCCTATGTCCCTTCCTCCGCTCCGCTCTCCCATTTGATCCTATGACCTTGGCATCATCCGCGAAAATTTAGCTAGACGAGCCTAGGCGTTCAGGCAGATCATTGATGTAGAGCAAGAATAGGAGTGGATCTAGAACTGATCCCTGAGGAACACCACTGGCAATATTTTCCATTGGCGAGTTCGCTTCTCCGACCCAAATCGCGAAGGTCCTATCGGCCGGAAAGCTGTAAGCCACATGTGGATGGTACCCCTTATCCCTGAAGCATGTATCTTGGCCAAAAGTAAGCGATCACATACTGAGTCACATGCTTTGCTAAAGTCTATATAGCAAACTTCCACTTGCTTACCCTCGTCTAATCTCGCTGTGGCTTCATATAAAAAGTGCAAGAGATTGCTCAGGCACAACTTTCCCTTCAGAAACTTATGCTGTGCCGCAATCAGCAACCGGTGCTGAGTGAGGTATTCGCATAAGTGGAATCTGATGATTCTCTTGAGCACTTCGCACAGGATGCTTGTGAGATTAACTGGACGGTAGTTTTCTACCTTGTGTCTCGGCCCTCCCTTGTGTATGGTGACCACGGTTGCTGTTTTTCAGTCCTGTGTTATCCTGCCCTGTTCCAGAGCTTCGTTGAACAGGTGGCATAGTGGACCCCCTAAAATCTCAGCTATGTGTTTAACTAAGGCTGGGTGGATGCCATCTGGTACGGTGGATTTGGCGGCGTTGAGCTCGCCAAGAGTCCTGCGCACCTGCTCCATCCCCACATGTAATTCGGGGATATCCGGTCCATCGGTGCGGAGGTCAGGTTGATCTATCCTTTGATCTATCCTTTGCACGCTTCTGAAGTATTCCTTAAATCGCACTGCTATATCCATCTCTCAGGCTACTACTTCTCCATCGTCCAATATCAGAGGCCCTCCCTTAGATTGGGCATAACGGTAGTACCTCTTTAGCTGGTATTTGGCACAATTTGCCAACTTGAGCTCATATTGCCGTCTGAGCTCGTGTTGAGTTGCCACTGATTTGTTTCTATCTCTGGTTTTCTGCGACCAGGATCGGTGGCTGCCCGATGATCTATAAGTGTGCCAGCTCATATTTCTACGCTGTATCGCTCTTCTAATCGCTGAATCCCACCAGGGTGGTTTGTTCTTCGCTGCCCTGGGTTTTAGGAGAGCAAATTCATATTGCAGAAGCTAGATATTTGCCTTGATCCGGCCCCAATGCTGGTCTACAGAGTCGTTTTCATGGATAGGGGCCCACACCAGCTCCGCACCTCGGGCCTTTAACTTCGTCGCATCTATCGTCCAGTAGTTCCTGGACATCCTAACGTTACTCCTACGATGCATGAGACTTATTGATGGGGTGAAAACGACGTGATCGCTTTTACCCAGCGGTGGATGGAGGATGATGTTTGTCACATCCCTCTCCCTCGTTGTAATTAGTAGGTACAGTAGAGATGGCCTATCTCCATCTCTGTACCTAGTGCACTCCCGGACATGTTTCTGTAGGGTCCTCGAGTGCATCTATTCTGAAAATGTACTCTCTGGTGTTCCTGTTGTTGCCCGCTCAACCTCTCAAGCGATTTTTGGGAAATTGAAATCTTCCAATATACAAACTTCTTGTGAGTGTCTATATAAGCTATCTAGGGTGTATAGGAGTGTCTGGTCCTCCTCAAGTGTGCATTCCGGGCTTCTGTAGACTCCTGATATGCTAACCCTCCTCGAATGTAGAACCAACAAATCCAGCACACCTGAACATTTCGGGTGGACTGCGCTATTTTGTCTTCGTGAAGGAGTGCATCCTGTCTGACTAGGACTGCTACACCACCAATACGGCTCCAGTGTACCCCCTTCTTGTCCTGTCTGTGGACTGTAAACTGGCTTATAACTGGTTCGCGTATGCGGGGCTTCTGCGTTAGCCACGTTTTAGACAGGACAATCACCCCAGCACTTGTCTCGCAGCCATTGTGACCAGAACTCCCTGTATTTCATGCTGAATATTTTGAAAATCCTTCCGAACCCATAATGATTTATGGTGAAA